TATTTAGAAAATACACAGACTTATTACAAGAGGCAAGGAACTAATAATAAGGTGTATTTTGAAATTTCATTTGATTTAAGGACCAATGAGAGGGCAAACCGATATTACCCCCTAAATATGTTATTTCTCTTTGAGTATTCCACTATTGTGCGGACACTTTTAAAATTTTAAGCACATCATTTTCGCTGAGTTCCATTTTGACAGGTGTGTATCAACATAAGTACACATACACGTGCACACACGCAGACGCACAAAATGAAAAGCAAACAAACTATAAATTAATCAGCTGTGTCTTGCATTCAGAAGTAAATAAATTTTAAATACAGCATGATCTCCCTGTCTCCAATGATTTAAAATATAAAACATGCATTTCATTTATATAACATTAATTCTACCTAGAAATAAAATCTTGGCCTTCTATAAGAAAATCAAACACTTAAAATTAACATTGTATGTATTCTTTCTCTGTGTCCATTTTTCATTATTAGAAGTTTTATCATTATAAATATTTTAGATGAAATGCTTTGCATCCCTCATCATCAAGGGACTTTATTGATGATTTACTAACAGCTGTATAAATTTTTGTCTATGAGCTTACTTGCCCATGTGGCATCTCAGATACTACTGCTCTGTGATGTAAAACCTCTCTTGTGCACTTGGGAAATTTATCTCACCTTTACAGTTTTTAGTCTTCGAAGTTTTAAGTTTCATCTTTAAAATACAGGGGTTGAAATAAAATTTTCTACGGTTCATTCTAGCTGTGATAGTCTACAACATATATCTTGGGAAATAAATGAGTTGACTTAAATTGTGTATATTTATCTAAAAATAATACTGTGAAAGAGCATATGAAATTAAGAGGGAAAAAGGGAAGCCGTAAGACACTATGCAATTCCTTTTATTTTCATCTTCTCATATCTTGTATTGAATAGAGTAACACATCCAAAAATACTGATCTATATGATATTCTTTCAGTAGCAAGAGGAAAGAGTGTCTTAAAGGAACTTTAATCCATTCCTTTCTTTCCATAACCTCCATCCTCCTCCTCCAAAGCTACTCCAAGTACCCTCTAGCAGCACAGCAACAGCACCCAGGCACTGCCAACACGGCTTCAGGACAACTTCCTCATCCTTCCTTCCAATAAAATGGCTGTTCCAACTGCTGGATGGATTCTCACACTGCTATAGCGTAACCTGACAATTTGCTAAACGTTACTATTAATTATATTATTAATTACATTAGCTTGTTTCATAAGATTTTGGAGTTGAAATACTCTCAAATTGTAGGCAGTTTCTGTACTCAGCAGTAGAAAAATGTCTCAGAGGAGAAAATCCAGGTCCAGAGTCCAGGGTATCTCCCAGGGGTCCCATAGCCAGTTAATAGGATGGGAGAAAAACTCACCACTTTTGATTATACAACTACCCGAGTATTCACCTGGTGGGTAATGTTCATTTTTTATTCTTCCTTCAATGCATTTTTGAAGAGTTTGAAAAAAACATAACCAATATTGTAAATACAGTTAAATTCTACATTGTTTGATTGTACCAGAGGAAATTCATTTACTCTTTATGGATGCCAAATTGCTTTTGAACAGCCTGATTAAAACGCAGTGAACTGATAGTAGTCATAAAGAATTTAAACTTAAGTATATAAGGAGATAAACAAGTTCAAGTGACACTCAACTGGATACAAATTCTATTCATACAATTTTCACTACAACTTTTAAATTAGTATTTTCAAATATATGTTATTATATACTTGGCACTGTTAAAGTATATTAAATTCACTATAAGTGTAAGTACAAAAAGACATTACTGAAATTATGGTGTTTCTTCCAAACCAACAGAGGAATCTTGAAATAAAGTTATTTGTCACATTAAATGTGACAGAGAGATAGACATACTGATAAATACATTCAGTTAGTCAATTTTAAAAATCACATTTATCAGAAATTTCTAAGACCATAAGCAGGTGGATTTAAAATGTGTAGCATGCATTTCAGGTCACTTGCTCTCAAGTTATCATATAACCTCTGTCCATTCCCCACCTTCTCCCATTACCTAGTTTAGAAATACAGAAATATTGAAAACTACCTCAATGATTCTCTTCTCTAATTGCAAAATAATTTACACAGGGGTAGCCACAATTGTCATGTGCATTCTTAGCCAGTCCTAAAATTATAACATAGTATCTAGCCAATTATTTTATATAACCAGCAATAGTTTAGCTTTTCTCTTACACTTAACAGTACTAAAGAAAAATGTCCTTTACACTTGCAGGTTACATCTGTTTCCTACCAGTAACACACAGAAGAAATACAATGTCATTCCACAGAGAGAAGAAATAATTATTTTTAACAGTTCACCCTTCCAATATCACATCCAATTAACAATGCTTCACTTTCTAAATTAACTGCTTTAAATAAATAATAATCATACCCAAAGGGTTCCATAAAATATAAAACCATGCGGTCTACAAAATCATCTCTAAGTGACTATAATTACAGAACTAGACCTGTACATTCTGTGTGAACACTAAAGGAAAAGAAAAGCATGCTTGTCTTCACCATCTGCAACTGTAAGCAAATGCAGGTATACAGCACTTTATTAGTAAGAACTCCTTTAGTAAGCACACGTTAGAGGAATTAATCATTCATTCCCTGCAGACTGCTTATGTATTTCATAGGGCCATTATCTGATCTGAATAACAAGAACAATTGCATAATAAAACACATTACTGCTGACAGTAGCAACTTTCTTTTTACAACTTTAAAGTTGCAACCACCTCTGTCTTGCATAGAGAGCTGATGGGGACAAAAAAAAAAAAACTTGACAATTTAATCCCTCTATCCAGCTTTGACTTTTTCTCCATTATTATGCAGGGAAAATTATCAAATATAACGTGTGCAAGCTTTACTAGAAACGGCTTTAATTCAGGTTGTTTTCCACGGCATTATGATATAATTATAACAGAAGCAAAATGTGTGTTGGCTAGATTTCATGTTAATTGTAGATCTTTGGTTTCAGAAATTTGATCAGGATCAACAATTCTGCTAATGTCTTCTCTACTGTGGAAAATGTATCTTATAGTAATATCTGTAAAAACATGTTTGCACCACTCTTAAATTTGGCTACTTCAATACAATCATACCTTTTATTTTTCAATCATTAGATAACCTTTCAGATACCTGAGGTCACAAATGAGTAGAGGTCATGTGCTATAATCAAAATCTGGTCAGCCAAAAGCTTCAATTTATATTATTTAAATTCATTTTAAACCAACAACAGAAATACCACCTGAGTCCAGGAAACCCATTTGGATAGAAAATAAAGCGATATGCAGAAAACAATGGCATATCTTCCCCATGATTTCCATCTTTGACAAACTTCATGTTAACAAATTTATCAACTGTCCTACTTCTGTCATTACCCTAAAAACTTACATCCCAAGATACTCAGAGGTTTTGACAACAAATAACCATAACAACTCTAAAAGACCTGTCCCTTTTTAAAATCGTTGAACACTAGTTTATTCTTCAATTTTTAAAATCAATGCTGAATGAATATAGTTGCTTTTATATACTAATTTGAGTAAATATAAAGGTAAAAATTTTTCGCTTTACCATCATCAACAATTGAATACAAGAGAGCCCTTAAGTATTATTTGATTGTAATATGTCTGTTGAAAAGAAATTATCTGTGAGTTTAGTGGTTTTAATTTTCAATCTGGTTTATAACTCTCAAAAGGATTTGATTATAAAAGTATGCTTGATACTGTGACAGAAAACTGAAAGTTAAAAGATAAAACAAACTTTTTCTAATCACTATTTTACACTAGTTGTAAAGTGCTATTGGTACAAGTGCTATTGTGTCCAAGAACTTTGAATTTGTTAAAAATCAGCCGTTTTACCTAGGTATGATTCCTACTGTATCTACTGTATATGTAACAATGCAAGAAGACTTAGATTCAGAGTCCATTTGGCAATGAGAGAAAAAAAAATGCTGAAATGTTATTGATTCGTTCCCTCTTGTGCAAAACAAACTGACTCAACTATATTTTTCCTGACATAACACAAAGGTTTTATTTAGATATTACAAAATATTGGCAAATGTTAAGCTGTATATCTTTTTCATTTTAATATAGCATTAACCCCTTCACAGAGAGGAAGACTGTCCTACTTGATTTTACAGAAATGCTTCAGCTACTGCCATAGCAATGTCAGCCCCATGAGGAATCCTGCCTGCAAAAGTTTTTGATGCAGAGATACCCAGCCCTAGGAGACACCTTAAACCTGTCACTGGCTGCTGAGCCCCTGTCACAGTTGATAACCTGCTGTGTCAAAGTCACAGCCTCAGCTCCTGTCCTCTCCAAAGCAGTTTTCACATTCCCTCTCCAAATTAATTTCATCCAAATTCTCCAAACCAGGCTAGGTCCAGGATTTCCTTCCACATCTCATCTACCTACAAGCATTAAGAAACCTCAAAAGGATTTTCTTTCCATCTTTCCAACCATCTTTATTAACTTTCCCTTGACCCAGTTTTTTTTTTTTTTTTTTTTGCAAGCTCTTTTCAGACCTGCAGATAAAACAAGCAACCAAGTCAAGTCGGAGAAGGATGGGAGTTGGTGTGGATGAAGGTTGAGGTTGAAGGTTGCAGAAATGAACCAGGAGGGTTAGAATTCTCAAGCTTTCTCTAGGTAACCATCCTTAAATCTTGAGACAACCAACGTTTCACACACCGGGCTTTCAACAGCCCTTGAACAATAAGCGTTCAAAAATCAGACTCCCAGGAAGGGAATATTTCCCACACTGAAGTCTTCTCATGCTCTTCCTCAAAAAGAACAAAAAATCTTAGCAAACCACTTCTCCGTTCAGAAGTACCTAAGTTATATAAGTCAACTTCTTCCCTGATAAAACGAACAAACTGTCCACACCACTGGGGGAGCGTATTCAGCATACGCCTCACTCAGAGGGAAGAAACACAGAAGCACAGTTTACTCACCAAAGCCGCCGCTCCAGTCCTCGGAAACCCCGAGGAGTCCTCGCTTCCCTCTCCTACCAGTCAAATAAGGAATTGGCTTCCCATTCCACACAGGCCCCGAATAAACTGCACGAAAGCACAGCAGACGCACAGCCGCCCGTCGGGCGCGGGCTTCCGCAGGGCGCTCCGAGGTCTCGTTGTTTCAGAAGTGGGGTCTTCGTTCCCGGAGGCAGGGCGCAAAGACAAGACACATCAGGGCGCCGCGAAGGCTTGCTTGGGTCCCGCGAAGTACCTGCGCTCTCCCCGCCGAGGCCGCCTGTCAGCGCGGCGCGCGAGGGGAGGAGGCTGAGGAGGAGGAGCGGAGGGAGGCCCGGCTGGGCGGGAGCCGCGGGGAGGCCGGAGAGCCGCTCGCGAGCCGCGGAGGCGCGGGCAGCGGGCGACGGTCGGGGCGAGGCGCGGCCGCGGGCGCTCGGGCCGCGGGCGCGGGCGAGGGCGCGGCGGGGCGGGGCGGGGCGGCGCGCGTCTCCCGGCGCCCCCGCGCGCTGGCTCTCTGCGCTCCGCCGCCTCCCCTCGCTCCCCGGGCGCCCACCCCACGTCTCCAGCCGCAGCCGCCCGGCCGCACGCACTCACCTGCATTTCCTTAACGAGCCACTTGATGGCTGCCAGCGGCGCGGGTCCAGCGTCGGCGGGCGGGAGCCGGGGACCCGGGCTGCGACCCGAGCTGCCCCGGCGCGACCCGCTCGCCGCGACCCGGAGGCCCCCGGCGTGATCCCAGGGCTCCGCGGGCGGCGGTCCGCGCGGGGAGAGGAGTCCGTGTGGGGCACGGGCTATTCCGACCACTAAAGCCACAGAGCGCTTGTCCAGGTGTAGACCCCGGTTGTGCTTCCTTCAGGTGTTCGCGTGCTTTCTGCTATTTTATGTTTTCTTTTGTTTCGTTTGTGTGTGTGTGTGTGTGTGTGTGTGTGTGTGTGTGTGTGTGTGTAGGGAAGCGGGCGGTAAGGGTTAGGGGTGGCGGTTTAAAAATGCAAGGGACAGAATTAATTTGCAGTACAATCGATGCTTCTCAAGAGCCTACTTCGGTGAGGAGTCGGAAGGGGAGCAGAGGTTGCGTGGTGCAGGGGTGGTCCAGCATCTCACGTTCTGGTAGTAGTTTTCAGTTGGGCTGTTTGGCAGCCTGGCTCTTCTGCAGGGAGAGAGAAGGTTCTGCCAAGGTGGTAGAGAAGGGGAAAAAAACTGTTAAAGTTGCTGGAAACCAGCTTCGCTATTGAGAGAACATGGACAAACAAGGGAGGGGTGATGGGGAGATTTCTTCCCCACCTGCTTAGTGCCCCGATGTAGAATGACCAGTGCTGCTGAGGTGAGGTATCACAGACTCAGGGAAACAAGGGAAGCGGAACGCAGAGCCCCTGAGCAAAGCTCGACTTGGTGCTGGGCAAGAGGGTGGGCAGGACAGAAGAGGTCTAGCAGAAAGCTCTTATCACGTTACCGTCATTTATGTCTGATCAGAGCATACAGTTATGACAACAAATGCTATCTCTCTTGCTAAAGAGAGATCAACCTCACTATGTTGATGCTTTAAAAAGCCAAAATAATTATCCAGTTCGTAATAATGTAACAGAGAGCCTTCCAGGTACCCTGTGGTCAACCGTGCTGTAAGCACTGTGGAAGAAACAAAGTGCAGCAAGCCACCTACTTTCCTTATATGTCCATGGTCGAATAGCAGAAATGTCACTTTCTCCCAAAGAGAAATAAAGCTTAATCAATATAGGTGACATTTTCCCCAGACTCCTTTCACCTTTTTATTTTCATGCCTGCCTCGTCTTGCCATGTCCCTTTGCTCTTGAGAAGTGACCCTTCTGAACCCATCCCCTGCCAGGCTACCTGCTCTGCCTCCTTAAACCCACTGAGCTCACCTCTCCAAGAAGGTTCACCTGCATAGAGTCATCATCACTTACAGCTGTTCTTAGAAATGATAGGATACAAACTGAAAACACGTCTACCGCGTGTGCAAGTGTGTGTGCATAGGTATGCCTATCTTTGTAATTATGCCAAGCACCTGCCGCCTTTTGGTGTCAGTGCAAGATGATGACTAACTCATTCTCTCGCCCTCTCTCTCCTCTCCCTCCTTCACTCCTCCCTCCTTCTCTCTCTGCACAAATACACACCACTCACTCCTGTCTCAGTCTCTTCCTGTCAGTGTTCAATAATGGTTTTACATGAACTTTCTGTTAGAAAGCATCTGAATACCAAGAATGAGTTACAGCAGAACAGTAGGAGGGAGGGATGCTGGGGCTCAAGGCTGCTGCTGTGTTTCCTGTCATCACTCACTCATTACATACACTACTGTACTTAATGCCAAGTGGCAGCAGAAATGATTTCCTCTCCTGCTATTCGTAATAATGTATTTGCCCTCTTCCGGAAATACATATAATTAATAATAAAAGAAATAATGCATCTTGAAACCATGGAAAGAACAGATAGATGCTGATGTGGTGGCGTTAGTCACCTTTTCTGTTGTTGATGCTGCAGAGACAATGTGACCACTTATTCCTTTGTGCTGCTCCTGGTGGGTTAAGCAAAGCATTTGGCCCTTATACTGTGTTCTCTTTTCCATATTTCCCTTGACAATAGTTTGCGTAATTTTAAATAAAGATTTCATTCTGCCAACCCGCAGGAAGCTTTTAACAAGATGCAGCTGAGCATGTCGATATCTTGTATCTTTTTACTGTTGTATGAGGGTGTTCAGCAACTTGAAACTCATCTTAACTTAAGCTCAAAGCTAGCATGTCACAGAGACAATGCTCCCTGGGGCTGATTTACTCTTTCTTCTACGCAGCTGTACTTTGGTACCCTCCAAGAACCCGGGATCCTTTAAACAATAGACGAGTAAGGGTTATATGCAATCCTCTCTTGCTGCACCCCTCCCCACTTAATAACACCACAGTATTCATTGTGATTAGCTTATTATAGAGATTTTATTAGTGATTCATTAGAGTTGGATTGGGACACAGTTCCTAAGGATGATTGCTGCAAGCCTGAAGAGCTAAGAATTTCATTATCTAGCTACCTATTTGCATCTCCTATAATATTATGGTTTATTTTTCCTTCTTAAATGAAAAAGACAGCTTTAAATGTCCTCAAGTTACTGCTGTATATTTACCTTTAAAAGGCAGCAACCTATATAAATTGGTCATTGTCAATAAACCATGTGTTTAGAACAACTGTTAACAAATGTGAGAGAGAAATAAAAAGAAAAGAAAGTGAGAAAGAGGGAAAATGCATGGTCTTGAATATCAGTCACTAAAATTAGTCTCTTTTGAGGTTTCCTTAATTGTACCACCTTATTTCACTCACCAAAACTTTAGTTACTCTTGTTGTATTTAGGTTTAGAAAGTGATTTCAGCAACCTGCTACAGCAGGAGAAATCTCCAAATTTGCATTTGTATTTAGGATTTTTGAGGGAATTAGGTACTTGCTTTCTTATCTCAGCTTCTGAATTAGGCTTAACAGTGCATCAATAGCAACCTCACAGCAATAACTTCCTGTTCTAATATGCCCTTTAAATATATATTGATAACACTTTGAGAAAAATTCCTAATTATACACTACTCCATATTATAGAATCGGAATCAGGGAGAAAAAAGTCAATAAAAGGGTAATGAGGAAGCTAGGAAGTGCAAGAAATCTGCCATAAGAGAAACAATGATCAAATCAAGTATTTTGTGACCACCCAATGGGTGGATTTATCAGTATTAGTCTCTTCTAATTCGCCATCTTCGTGTGTGTGTTTGTGTGTGTCTGTTCCTTTTCTTCACTGTACACTTAATTCTCCCTTTCTCCACTTTTCTAAAGTTATATTGATTGGCATGAAGTACATGTGTAAACAATTTTATATTGATAAAAGAAAGGGAAATTACGCATTTAGTAAGTCAAACTGCTCTTCATATGCCACAAGGATAATCCTCTACTCATCAGCTTTTATTTTGTTCAATGAAGGTGGAGTTTTAATTGGCTAAATGGGTCTAATTTACCTAATTTGTTGTACGTGATTTGCTACCAAGAAAGCCGTTTTGGAACCTTACAACACAATAAAAAAAATGTGACTTCACTGTACCCAATTTAAGGAGTCTTTATGAGTGGTGTTTTATGTGTGACAATTGTGAGTTCAAGGTTTTGATACTATCTCAATGATCATCATGTGGTTAATGCTAAGTTACACAAAATATAAATGCTTTGAAAATACAGATCTTGATATAATGTATATACTTAGTTTCTTTTTCATTTATTGTGCTAATTAATTTTTAACTTTGTCTACCCCTGAGCCCCACATCCATCCTTTGCCCTTCTTTGTGCCCAGGGGTTAACTTCTAGAAACTGCATCCTCCTGCTCACCGTTGCCTGCTACGTTCTGTAGGATATTGTCAATGAGTAGCAATGGAATAGGGGGGAGGGAAAGGCAGGGCCATCTTGCCCCATTTGCTCTGTAACATAGCACTGTGGTTCTTTCTGAAACTGGCTGCATTGCAATAAGAATACAGTCCTTTCTTGCTACTGCCCTTGCATAGCTGCAGCTCATATCTGCCTCTCATAACACCACTTAACCTTTGCCCCTTCAGCTTTCCACTGCAGCTAAACCTAGGACACTCATTATCTCTCATCAGTTCTCTCAGTCCACCTGCTTCTATGGAAAACATCACTTACCTCCTCTACTCTGATACATTTTTGTTATTTAAATTTAAAGCATTCAAAGATAACAAGAAATATGTATTCAATTGTCTCAGAATTTAACTAACATACTGTCTAATGTGTATGGATGTGCCAAACATCGCCATTACTCAAGCTAAAGATAACTTTAACATACTACAAAAAAAACAAACACACACAAAACATAACCTTGATGGCACAGCTAATCTATACAGCTGAGTAATAACAATATATTAATATTTTTCACAGAGGTGTCATGTCTGTGTGTTAAATGAGCCAGATTAATCAAACTTTTGTAAAACCTTTTTTAAACATACATGGTTTTATGGTATCTAATTGCAAAATAATAACAATGAAAATACACGTTTTGAAATCTAGTCTTTATTATTCTATGAAGCACACCACGGTTTTTAAGGCACTGAAATTCAATTTTATAAAACTAAACGAGTAGGAAGCTTATATGGATCTCTCCTTCCAATTATTAAAATATAAAGCCAATAAGGATGTAAAAAAGTGACCTAAGTTATCAATGATAACCCCACATAACTGTCTCATGCATATATGTACTTTGGAAGGAGAACAACTGCATATAAATATAAATAATGCAATCCACCAAGTTACTTTAAGCAAGCATTTAAAAAATAACATGATATAAATATTAAGGGTTGCAGCAAGTTCTTCAGAAAAATAAATAAT